CTGCAAATCCACTCTCTGATGATTTCAAAAATAGTTTGTGCCTACTTGGACAGCCTAGACAATAGATTAATAAAAATCTATTTTGACAATATTGATACTTTTTAACCTCTCTCTTGGACCTTTAATTCTACAGATATTTAACCTGAATGCTATCTTCAATAATCTATTTCGACGCCAAAACGGCGAAAACGCAAATTTAAGACGTCATCAGGGTTAAAATAGAAGTTATATTACAATTGAAATTTTGCTATCTTGTGTGTGGCAAAATCAAAAGTTTAACATAGAGCCAATATTTCAAATCGGGAGAATTCTCTCGTGATTTGGAAATCTTTCTCATCATTTATCTGTACCCTCTCGCGCTGAGAGATTCGACGTTTATTGATTTACTTATTCGTTTGCTCACGTTCAACATAAATTCACGTTAGACCACTCTCGTTCCGATGTACGGCCGCAGAACGTCGTACGGCCGTCTAGAGAACGTTTCTCGGATTAGGAGATATACGAGCGGGTCGATGAAGCCGGCATCAGAGCAATGTAGAGGAATAGATAATGGGGAACGCGGAGGAATGGACGGAACGAAACGTGGACGAGGCGCTCCGCCGACTCGCCCGATGTTGTCGAAAACAACAACATCGGATGGCGGGAGGAGACGTAACGGTCCTCCGGGATTGAGCAATCGTTTCCGTCTCTGCCCGTTCACGGTGTGTCTTGCGTACGCGCGCCGATGGGAGCGCGCGTAAAATCCACCGAGCGTTTACTGCGCCGTTAGGAACTTCCGTCCGGACGATTTTGTCCCGGGCGTGCCGCTCAATTGGATTAAACGTTGCGCTCATTTCGCACAATGTATATCCCGCGAATGCGTGTCGCGAACGTTCGTCGTCGGCGGCGACAAACGCGCGAATTTATCCGCGCTATTTCGCGAGATTATCGCGGTCTCTCCGCTCCGGAACGAACGATTCCGCCTTGTTGTTGCCCTCGCTCGTGCTTTATCCGGCGAATTCTCATTCCACGGGTGCTGTCCGTGCTCTTCAATCCCGTATCTTCTATTTTGTCACGTCACGTGCGCGAGATAAACGCTCGCCACGACGATTCCGAGATGGCGACGTCGCCATTTATTCGCTCCCAACCGGCAAGTCATCGCGTCCCTTTTAATCGTTAATTTCGTTTCACTTTTTTTCTTTTTCGTGGTTTTTAATTCCTTCCCGCCCGACGCGTTCGTTCATTTTCATTTCCAGTTCGCTGGCGCGTTGATGTTACAGCGCGCGTTGAAATATGGAAGCGATATGTTCTCTAATAACGCGTTGCATGCGCGTCTGTCAGTAGCATATGCCGTCGCTCCGTAACAGGATGCCTGCACCGTCGCGCTAATTCAGCCGTGTATATTAGAGCACATGAATAGAGATGATCGTTTGATGAGACACACGCGAGATGATATCTCCATTATTCTATGATAATGGGAGTAACGGGGAAAGGCCGCTGATTGCGGATTCCAGCCGGGGAAAAGTACGACTTTCAGCGCGTTGCCGCAGTCTCTCTCTCTCGTCCTCTCTCGTTCCCACTTATTCTCTTTGTAATGGTGTGTAACTGACGTACGAGACAACGTTCGCGTGTCCGGCATAACGAGAAATTGAACGATCGAATCGGAACGTAGCCGCTGCTTCGGCGCAATTTCCTTCCGCTCCGTCGTCCGCACGTTTTCCGTTGTGCTTTCTAAGAGCGCGCATCTTCGATCTTTTCTCACTTCTCCCTATATGGAAAGAGAGAAAGAGAGGCACCCCATCGTCGGGTTTCCGTTCAAAGTAGAGACTGCAACTTTACCGTGATGTCGACGCAGGTTCCGACGGACTCTCCTATTTCGTTTCACTTTTACGCTTCGCGTTTTATTCGCGATTCTTAGCGCGACCGTAATAACATTTTCAAAAACGCGAACGAGGTTGTAAAAGCCGTGAGAAGGCGGAAGAATATCGAAGAAATTTCGTCGCACGACGAATTAGGCGCGATTCGAAGTACGTTTTAAGGTAATTGGTCCGTAAAGTGCCAGATATCAAGAAACCTTTACAATACCAGTTTATTCGCTGAAAAAAAAAAACTTTTCTCCTGTGTAATCCATATTCATCCTCCTATGTAAATGACTTGACGTACCTTGCTCTCTTGATAAATCTTATTTATAATTTTTATCTGGTATCTTATCGTAAGATCGCTTCTTAATATCACTCGTGCAATCGAATAAATAAGACCGTCGCCTTCTGACAGGTGACACGATAGTCAGGGCCATTAACGTTATAATAGAACGTCGAGAATTTATGTGCCAGCTTCCTGGAGCGTTCCGGATGAGATCCGAAGGCGAGACGGAGGGACGATCGCGTCCTAATCAATGGGCGCGCGTGCGACGACGAAGGCGCGCCCCGGCTATCGCGTCGCGCCTCCACGGGAAAACGATTAAAAGCCGCGCGCGTGCAAGCGGGTCGAGACCCACGTGCGATTCCACGTTCATTTCCTACGTGCATCCGTCCATTGTTCCATTCGTCGCTGTGCGTGCGTGTGTGTGTTTACTACACGGCGGCGCGTTGCGCTTTGAGAAACGCTCGCCGCGGAATCGCTCGCGGTACACGATCCCCCGGATAACAAGGTATTCTCGAAGCCACCTGCCCGCAGGTGAGAGCCGGGGTATAACGCACCCGTCGAAGCCGCTCCGCGTTGTAACCAAACGCAGCTCTCGTAACCGTTGTCGCGGCTGGTGAATGCCAAGGAAGCTGCAAGTCGGATAACGCCTCGAACACGGCGCCCACGCGATTTTCCTTTTCCACGCGCGCCGTAATCGGCAGGTGCGATCCAGCTCCTCGCCGAATGTGTCGCTGTGTCGCCACCCGGATATCGGCAAAATAATTTGATCGTTCCATTTTCGAAGAATCAGTTTTCCTTGTTCTCTCCTCTTTTTTTTTTTTTAATTTTGTACGCTCGTGATCGACATGTGTTGAAAGGTTGTTTTCGAAGTGTCTTCGACACGTGAAATGGTTTTAAAGGAACGGGGCGGCGGGGAATGTGCGGAGAGAGAGAGAGAGAAAGAGAGAGAGAGAGAGAGAGAGAGAGAGAGCACTGTTTGTTCCCTACATAGATAAAATATTATTTAGAGCGGGGTTTCCTATCGGGATTTTATTTTTGACGTGCCCCGGCTATTTTGCACGGTGAGTTTTTATAACGAAAAATATTCCTCGCAGTTGATCAACGCGGCGAGTAAACGGCAGAAATTAATGTCGTTACCATTGATGCTTTTACGAAACTTTACGTTTGAATATTTCAGCGGGGTGTTCTATTTTTTTTTTTGTATTTTTTTCCCATCACGGACACACCGTGCCTCACGCTAGTCGATAAAATTCGGCGGAGGAATATTAATGATTTTTTTTGTGTTTCAACAGAACGAAAAAGTACCGTCGCGTTGCCGAGCCGCTCGCGCGCGGGCTGTTGAATAATTTAATTGACGTGGCTTTTATTGCTGCAGCCTGCAGATTTCTCGCCATAAAAAAGCAAGTCATAAATTATTGCGCGGCTTATCTCGTTCTCTAGCGAGAAGAAATGCACGAAATACGACGAATATGGGGCAAGAGGGGGGAAAGGATGAATTGACGAAAATACTCGATGCGAGATTTCGCGTAATCGCTCGATTCCTGCGGCGAAAAGTCATTCGCTCGTGTCTCCTGCGCCTTGAGGCGCGTCATCGATCCGCCGTCTCTCGCACGAGGTTTCGCGCGCCCAGGTGAAATTCGCTTTTATGATTCATCCCGCCGTAACCGGCTCGCTGGAAAATCCTGCAGCATTCGCTCGCGTTTCATACGCAACGCGGTTCGGTCTCCCGGGAAAAACGGTAACTCACCGTCCGCCGAATGCCGTTTAGATAAGCACTTTCTAACGCACGCATCGAAAGTTCCGCTCCTACACAAACGATAAGCCGAGCCAGCGACCTGCGTTAACATATTCCCGCTGATGGTGGGTGTATGTGTGAGTATGTGTATGTATATATATGTATGTTGTGTGCGCGAGAATTACTGCAATCTCTGTCCTTTTTAAGCGCGTGTTGTATTCATACGCAATGTAAGAATCTTAAGCACGCGTGCAGCTATGCATGATAAACGAGGCTGAAATATTTCCCCTCGTAGCTCTTTGTGACATTTGGACTGATTTATACGGACTAAACTATTCGTGTTGTTCTTTCATTCTTCGTTTGCGACGGTGTATTTGTTTTTTTTTTCTTTTTTTTTTATAGATTCGCGATTTTCTCCCGTTGAAATTCGTTGAAACCTCGTACGACCGCCGAGAGGAACACACATGTATTTTTTTCCGATGGAAAACATTTGGCTCGTGGACTCAAATTTCAAATTATTATTATTACGTTTTCAAATTATGATTATTAAATATAGGTCAAGAGACAGTACAATTATTTACATTGTATTGCCGCTCGAATTATGAAGAGAAATGCACACGCTTTAAATTCAAACTTTTCACCAAGTTTTATACTTTTGTTTACATTCGTGTAGACAAAGAGAGTATGAATCAGCACAAAGGGACAGAGTTTAAACCGGGTTGGTTTATTGACTCGACGCAAGTCCGATCCACGTCCTCCCCACGCGAAGTTGGTTTTATTGTGCAAAAAAAGGAAGGAGAGGGGGAGGGAGGGAGAGAGAGAGAGAGAAAGATGATACGGTTTTGCTTTGTCACTAGAACGTTCGTGCATTGTACCGGTTAGATGGCCGCGCGCTGTAACGGTCGGCCTGGCACAGTTTTACATCTTCTCTTACTTCCATTTCAATTTTCCAAGCGCATCGTTACGCTGATTACCGTGCCGTTTGTCGTCGACGGCAGACAACCCGTGATTTGTCATTCTCTTTCTTTCTCTCCTTCGTTCTCCGTCCTTCCGCCTCTTTCGTCGCGGGCGCGCAACTGCGCGCGATACGTGACGGGAGAAAGAGAGAAAACAATTTTCCTTGACTTCCCCGCACAAACAGTATAGAAAGCAAACACGAGGTGACAATCTTAGGAGGGCTAAATGAATTCTCCGTCAAGTTCTACGGTCCACGAGGGAGTAAGTACCACTTTTGTCCTTATCTATTGTCAAGCGGGCCGCGCGCAGTGCAACGTGGAACAACCGTGTGCGCGCGGGATGAACTCGACACTGTCGTTTGAACACGATCGAGACGACGCGTTCCAAATTGCACAGCGCGGATTACGCCTGCGATAAGTTAAGCTAAGCAAGCCGAGGCGGCCACTCGGCTCGAAGATAAACAACGAAACTAAAGAGCGAGGCTAAATGGCGAAGTTACCGAAGCCGAGTGCCCGGCTCGGTCGTTACGTTCGTCCGGCGATTATTCGTCAGTTTAATTAGACCGCGGTAAGGTGATAATCGCGCCGAAGGTCCGGTTCGCCGAATCTTTCGATTCCAACACCTGCTCTCTTCGTATTTAGCGTACTCGCTTCTGAACGATACCGCAGTGCGTTTGACGACGTTAACAATTACGAATAATGCTTTTTTAATGCCGCAATTTTACCTGACATTGAAGTGTACGTTAATCTAACGCTTACTAGGCGGCCTTCGGCCCGTGTCACGCTCAATTTCATAGTTTCTCGCATACCGCCTTGGGCTACTATTATTATCATGCTGGAATTAACGTGCTCGTTCGAAAGGACACATATCGTGTTTCGATGGCTATCTTAATCCTCCATTAGACGCAATATCCAATAGATATTGCTAGGGCTAGTGTTTTCTCTCAAAGGCTTTGACATTCGAATCTCCGAAAATTCGAAGCTTCGGTGTTCACGGTGTTCGAATTTCGAATATATCGAAGCTTCGAAACATCGGAATTATAAGATTTTTAAACTATATAATGGATCTGTATATCCATTCATTTACAAAAGTTTATTTACAATATTTCTCAATATTTTCTGAGTAAAGTACATGTGGACATTAGTAGTTTACAGCATTCTCAAGATTGTACTCTTCGAAACTTCGAAGATTAATATTTTTCAATTTGTTCTTCACTGTATTTAGTGCCTCGTCTATTAGTTAAGTGCTAATGAAAGAGAAATTTTCTCAAGAAGCAGAGGAAAATAATGGGAAAATTAGTGAGATACATTGCAAGCATTCATGGGTGAAAAATATTGCGCGAAGGGTTAATAACACTGTAAATCCGTCGTGTGTGTCGAAGCAGTTTGGCAGATTTCGCTACGTCTCCGCTAATACGGTGGTAAAAACACGGAACACGTGACTCGCGACGTATCTCTTTTGCTTTCACTCACGTGGTGCAACAAATATAATTCATCACGAGGCAGAAACATGGAAGTTTCCTCGACTTTCTTACTCTCAACGCTGGAATAGAATATGATTAAGACGTAATGGCGTCATCGTACACGCTTCGAGCGCTCCGATACGTTTTCACTTCGTGTTCTCCCAAGGTCTGCGCGCATCTCTCGAGAAACCGGAAGCGCGCTTATGCAACGTCGCACTTGCGATTTTCTCGGTTTGCTGGACGTGCGTACGAGGCGTGTCATCGATTGGCAGGGACGCCTCAGGAAAGAAAGTTCCTTTGACTCATCGCCGACACTGTTGACGAAAGAGATGCGTATAATTGTGTTGTCCCCCCCCCCCCCCCGNAGATCGCGTTGAAAATACTCCTCGTGAATGACAGTGCTGTACGCGTGCCTATCCGTTCGTCGAAGATAACGCGACAGGTTACAAACTGTGCCGCGGACGGAGAAATTAGCGGGAGGGAGTGCGGCAATTACATGAGGGAATTATCGTGGGAATATCGTGCGTGTGAAAATTTTAATCGTTCGAGGCATTAAACCCTTTAACATCAGAACTACCAAAGCAGCCAAAATGACCGGTTTGTATTTTTTTTTCTTTTTTTTAAGTTACTCCAACCTCTAATGGTGCATTCTTTGAGATTTTCCGTAATTTTTGAAGCAATGTTTGAACGAATATTTTTTCTCTTGCATTGCATATGTTTTCTAAAAAATCTCATTTAAACTGCTGCGATAGAAAGGTACATGTAATCGTTTAGTCTTAAAGCTCATACATTGATTCCTCCCCTCCCCCTTCATTAGAGTAAAATATAATTTATAATATCGTTTTAAACGACGTTCCTGATGAAATTTTTTTTTGTCCGAATAAAGTTGGCTGTCGGGAAGTACAATTTTCCTCAAGTGTATATATAATTCCGTACATTGAATGTTTAAGGTATAAAAATGAGAAAATGTTAAAATTGTTTTACTTAAAAAACATTTATTTTCCGCTTGTTTATAACACAGTCGTTGAAAAATATCGGACAGAATTTTCATAAAGACTTCAGAATGTACTCATGTTTTTTCCTCGAATAATTTGATATAAATCTGAGCATCAACAACTTTGCTCTACATGCGATTGCATATATTGGTCTTCAGCCGGAAAGACGTTATTTCGGGTTAGGACGGAGAATGTAGCTTCATTTAGAATGGATTGATAATATTATGTATATCAACGGAACCATTACTTGGACAACAGACAAAATTTGGGGAAAGCTCAAAGTTAATGTACGTTATTACGTACACTAGGCTTTAAGAAGTTAAAAACGCACGAAACCACGAAATTATTTTCGCGAAATCCGCGAGTCGGAGACACACGAAGCCGACGCGAAACAATTAATCTCGAAATAATTAAGCGGAACAATTAATTACAAGCCGCGAGCGTTTCCGCGGTATCCGATTGTAGTAACTCTCCGCGCGGAACGCATCGCGAGTCCGCGCCGAAACGAAACAAACTCACGACCTCGTCAATTTCGCGCGCTCACTTTCGAGCGAATCGAATGAAATGAAATTCTACAATTGCGTAATGAATTTTGCTTTTCCGCGCGTGGAGAAAAGCGAGTCGTCCGAAGACGAAAGTTTCTTGACCTGACCGCCGACCAGCCAGCTGGAATCGCGCGACCACCGTCGTAACGCTTTAAATTAGATCGCCTTTCGGATAGGTCCTTTGAAATGGCGCAGCTGCACTCGCGGGTGTAACTTCATTTGCTTGAGACCGGTCCCCGGACTTTGGCTCTTACTCCAACGAGATAGGCTACACTTGCGGTAGAACATTCCGCGGGTGTAATCTCTGTCCGGATTGCCCGAATAAATTGTAGAAACGTGATATTCGACGTAATCGGATCTGACGCGATTCGCGTTACGTATCGATAAAATAAAGGATCGCCAGGTGTTTTGACCATCAAAACAGAAGCAATTGTAATACATAGGGTCACGTATAATTTCGCGTTCAAATATTACCGCTATCATTGTTGTCGCCAGAGACTACCTTTTAGCATTATTTCATTATCGGGACACGGAATGTGCGATGGTGAAAACATGGAAAATATTCTTTTTAATTGTACTTTGGTGTTTACGCATGTGCGGAAAAAATATTTATATTTTTCATAGTGGTAAAGACGAAGTATGCATATGCAAAGAGAAGGTAGTGTTATGGCTTTTCATTTGCATTTTATACAATGACTTCATTAATATTCAATATTTTTAATCGAAAACTTAACGATTAGTTAAAATGTCGTTCAATCGATTCTAGACTCGAAATTATGAAATACTCGAAATATTTATTACTTAGGATGTTATTTATAAAAATGTGAATTAAAAAATTCGAATTACAAGATTTGCGATCTGTTAGGCGGAGCTTATTTGGCAATTCGATAGGATCGGACGGGGTCGGTGTTAACGTGACGCTGATAATACGGACTATCCGATTATTTCGTCTGCTACGATCGATCGTAGCTCGCAACTACATAACGCGCAGAACTTTTATATATATATATATATATATATATATATATATATTTACACGCGTATGGCTTCGCTCGTCCGACTCCCCTTTGCTCGGCGAGTTAGCATCATCGAACCACCCCCAGAACCATGTAAATCAGATCGTGTTTCAGATAACCCCCGGCATACGATGCAGCTGCGCTCGCGAGTTCGTTTACACAAGTTCATTTCCCAGTTGCGAGACGGGCAAAAGCACGTTTATCCGCGGAAAATTGTCGAGCGCACGAAACTTTTTAATTGCGGGAGAAAGGGAGAGATAAAAAAAATACACGCGACTATCTTCTTACTCCCCCTTTCATCGTGGTCAAGCGAAATCCTTTTGCGAGCGACGCTTGAATGATGCCTTCTCGTTAGACCAGAGGGATAACGGGACGAGTTCGGGGGTACTTATGGGACAAATGCTGAACGAAAAATTTCGACTCGTCTAATTATCAAGCTCGGATCGCTGACTTAAATCCCGCGGTTATTCACGTTGCTCACGAGCGTTGCGAATGGATTTGTCGAACGCGAGTCGCGCGGGTTCGGGACGTCGACGGCGAACAAAGGCCACCTCTCTTTCTCTCTTTGCTTCTCCGGCACGGAAGTTCCTTCGATTGCATCGCCGGTCGAAGTGCGGCGCAAGCCGCACGAAAAAGCAATTCACTGAAAGCCGCGAAAGCTCGCGCTTTCAGAGCTTACGGCGCGTTTTCCCTCGCCGAACAAGAAACAGGACGCGACGAGCGAGAATATTTTAATTTAACGTCGATAGCATGTTATCGACAAGAAGAAGAAAAAAAGAAGAGAAAGAAATGCTCGGATCGTAATGCGGAAAAGCGTATCGACTCTGATTCCGCCGATGTTGTCGGGATGAAAAGAGTCAGCGCGACTGCGGGAAGCCCGATAAAAGCGCCGACTCGCTCACTACACACGTAACGCTTAATTAACGCAGCCGCGAAACGCGATGCAACATCTCGCGGGACGATTCGATTGTCGAGAGCTAACGTATCAGCGGTTTGCGTTACATCCGCGATTACCTCGATAGAGGAGGACCCGCGCGCTTTATCCAAACATATTGATCGAGTTACGGGGCACGTGCGTCTTTCGTGTACGTTCGTTGGGTAATGCATAGCCCGGGGATGCGCCGGATGAGCACTTCTGTTTGTCTCAGCGAGCTTTATTGGCTTTGCATTCATATTTAGTCAGCGGAGATGTGCGGCACGGAGCGCGCGTTGCGTAACGCCGCGACATGCGTACGTGTCCATC